CTGTTTATCTGACCTCTGTGTCTACACCTACCTCAGGATACAAAATGAGTTTGTGTAAAATTGCAGATGCTCCTGTCCACACCCGCTTTAAGACATTTAAAAAGACTTTGCTTTGTACAAACTGACTCATGTGTTTCCTCAAAAATCTCCATTTAACTGGTTGAAAATTCTTGAAGCACATCAAATTTTCCTCTTCTCATTGAAAACTTCTGGATCTCTGAATATGTAAATGCTGTTCATTTTCAAACAAGATGCCTCTTGTACCATGATGCCTGTTCTCAATATATGAGTACCGGAAGCTGTAATCCAGCACATCACACTTCTTTCAGCTGCTGGTTAGACTGGGATTAGCTTCCAAAATATCTGTGATGTTACAGATCATGGTTTTGAGTTGAAGGGGCTTTTAATTCTCAATGCCATTAGTGTATCATCATGTGTGACTGAGAATTTCTATGGAGCCAGGTTTCACTTTGAGCCTCTGTGTCACCTGTGTGCAGTGCCTTTGGCAGCCCCCGGAAACCTGACCTTTGACCTCTCGGAGCAGCAGCTGGCTCTGACCTGGGCGCAGCTTCAGGACAATGAGCTCCAGGGGAAGTTGTTGGCCTACAAGCTGCAGTGGACTCTGGGAGGAGAAGCACAGGTGAGAGGTGAACAGCAGGTATCTCACCTGAGCCATTGCTTTTCCATTTAATTGGTTGTCATCCTGAGATGTGGTTCAGATGATCTCGTTTGTGCAAAACCGTGAACAATTTCTTTAACATATCTCTGTAGTAATAATAAATATGTTCAATACATTTCACCCTATATAATTTTATGACATATTTTAATGTATTCTGTTGTACACAGCTGTAGTAGTTTGCCTCGCGTTACTCTGAAATACGATATTACATTATAAAATCACATGTGATCCTCTGTCATACAGCATATATGGTGTGTTTACTCAAACCAGTCTGTAGGTGAAACACAGCTAGCTCCTACTGTATCTATACTGCTGATGAATTTTCATTTCTGTTATTTTCTGTTAATATTTTAGTTTCATTATCTGTGTTGTGGCTGTTATTGGCTCCTAACCCCCCCCTCCCCATGACCCCATTTGGGACTGAGCGGTATAGAAGATGAATGAATGAATTATCTGTGTTGTAATACACCATGTTCTCCAAAAAGGCACACTGTATGTCTAGAAATGCTGTGTGTTGCATCAGTACTAGAGTCAGTAGGGTTTCCTGTCCCTCTGCTGCGGAGCCTCTGAACATGCAGGCCTTGTTCGGCCGCTCACGTAAAGCTACTTTTCTGACAGAACTGTTGAACGGGTCCTTTCAGACTAGAAGCCCAATCTGTTTCTTAAATGATGTGCGTATTAATAGGTAGTGTGTGTGTGTGTGTGTGAAACCTACTTTCACTGTCTCACTAACTGTGGACTAAACGATTGGAGGTTCTTACCTGTTTTCTGATGTTTTACTGAGAAACCGTTCATGAAAAAGTCAGACCCACGGAGACCCAGGCTGAGTAGACGAGGCAGCTTTATTTGTACAGCACATTTCATACACACAGGCGGCTCAAAGAGGCAAGGAAAAACAGTAACAGCATTAAAAACAATTAGCATTAAGACCAGAATAAAATCAGTTAAGACACAGTGAAGATAAAATAATGTTAAAATGAGATAAAATACATAAAATGAAAAGAACAAACATACAAATGAAAGGTCTGAAACAGAAATCAAGCTGTTACAGTGCAGCAGAGAAACCAGTCAAACAGAGGCAGAGGGAAAGCAGAGGCTTCGGCTGAGACTTGACAGTGGCCGAGTCGGGGCACATGTAAGGTCATTGGGAAGCTGGTTCCACCTGTGTGCAGCATCGTAGCTAAAAGCAGCTTCACCTGTTTGGTTCTGACCCGAAATTCTACCAGCTGACCGCTTCCTAAGGATCTCAGAGTCCTGATGGGTTTGGATTCTTCAGGGAGAGCAGACATGTCAGGCATTCGGCCCCATACCATTGAGAAGGTTTATAAACTAGCAGCAGCACTCTAAAATCGATTCTGTAGGTAACTGGCAGCCAGCATCAGGGTTTCCAACATTTACAAGTTTTTGTCTTTATTGCTCTAGAATCAAGCTGATCAGTAATTTCTGTCCCTGCCTTCTTATTGCCAAAAAAACCCTTATCATTTAGAAGGAAATCAACTGTGATTGGCTGTTAATGAAATGCACCCTGGGAGTTGTAGGCTGCTGTATCTGAGCTGACCAGGCTCGATTTGATATGAAACTGCATGAATACTAGCGACTTTTGATCTGTTGGTTATTTAGCCTGCCACTGCTGCACCTCACAGATGTCACAAAGAACCTTCATGTCCCGTTCACCAAAGGCTTATGTGTCTCTTAATAATAATGTACAACACAAATTAAACCAGTTGACATTGTAGAGCAGGACTCTACAGACCGTCTGCAGCCTGAGGGAACCACATGTCACGTCCTGTACTGACTGTGTTCAGCTCCTCTGATAAACGTCACCATCAGCCACACTTTTATTCTGTTAACATAAAAACCCTTGTTGGGTAAAGACCAACTCATACAATCACATTCGCTGCAGTTAAACAAGAAACAATACGTTTCTATAAAACCTTAACCCCATTAGGCCCTGAGCTCTTGCAGTAGGTGGAGCAACTGCGGTGCCTTTCTCCAAAAACTGCAGCCGCCTCGATCCCGTGCGAATATCGTTGGCCACGTGGGCGTTATGTCAGATAGTCAGACAGAAAACTAACTGGCATGCATTGTCCGCCGATCGCCGGTGATCGATTCTGTGCAGATCTGGGTCATCTCCAAGGAGCCTTAATTAGTTCTGGTGATGAGCTTAACCTATTGGATAGCAACGCATCATGTCCTGTATATCATCCATATGTCATCTATGTCATTGTGTTCAGGAGCCGCTACTGTTCAAGGACAATTCAGCTCAGCTTGCAGGAGCAGGACGTTTCTTCAATGCCTCCTTCCAGGTGTCGGCCTGCACCTCAGTGGGTTGTGGGCCCTGGAGCCCCCCGGTGCTGGTGCTGCCTTCCTCAGGTACACATCATTTTAAAAACCGACCGGCAGCTTGTGCATAATACTCCAATGCTGTGTGAGTATTATGTTATTCTGTTGTGCTCTGTGTTTCATTGACATATCAGTTTCTCCTGGCTCCTGTGCTGTAAAAGTGAAGTGTGAGCACTGCTGCTAACATACATCACAAACAGCTCTAGACTGTGATGGACGGTCTCCCTGCTCGTCTTTCAGTGCAGGTCCAGGTCCAGCGGAGCCACATGTGGGTCGGTCTGCTGCTGGGGCTGCTGGTGGCCGCTGTGGTTGGGCTGCTGCTCACTGTCCTTGCTCACCAACGAAGAAAAGAGATGGAGTTTGGGTATGAGACTCGTTTAACGTACAGTATGTTTAATAAAATCAGCAAATCCCACATTCAGACTAACAGTGAACTTCACCTCTAACAAGTCCTGAAATCTGTCCTCAGTCTGTGCCACAGAGCTGCACTGTGTCCAGAAACATGGATTTGATGATTAGAGACCAACAACAGTTTGTTGGTTCAGGGGTGAAAGAGACAGAAGAACTGACTCTGTGTGTCTGCCTGCAGTTCGGCCTTTAAGCCTGCAGGTCCGGAGAGCCCGGTCTCCTTCACAGCGGCTCGATCCTTCAGCAGAAACTGTGCAGAGCTGCAGGAGTCGACATGTGAGTCTGGCATGTTTCTGTCATAGTTATAGAGTGCAGACTTTTATTTTACTGTTAAAGCTAAATGTGTCCCCTGCAAATGTTCTCAGCGAACATATTATTCTTAGGTTGGTCAGGCTCGAACCTCATGTCTGGTCACTGTGTCTCTGAACACTTTTACATGCTGTTTGACCAAAGCTGATTTAGCCTCGGGGCCACATTTGTCCCGTCTAAACTGAGGATCACTGAACACTCAGTCAGCACGTTTCCAATGGGCAGTGTGAGGAGACACAAACTTGGTCTTCTAACCAAAGTCCAGTTCCTGGGCACACAAAGAAAACAGAAGGTCTGCACGCCCAAGTCATTAAAAAGTCTTCTTTGACTGTCTCTATACAGTATCTGCCATGTGACAGCAGGACGGCGGAAGTGGAATAGTGGTGATGTGTGTCTGTTGGCTGCTGTTTGTCTGTGACAGAAGTTTCACCAGGTTCAGTCTAACACAGTAACCAGTGTGTTTATAGAAGACACTGCTACCTGTAGCGATGGGCTGTATTTTGCCTGCAGCCAGTCAGTTCTGTCTGTGTGGCCACGTGACAGCAGCACAGACTTCCTGTAACTATGAGTGTATGAGCTAGAAAACAGCATGAAAGCCCTTGTCACTGGGTTTCCATCCAAGTGTAGAGGACAATGTGAATGTCCGGACCGATGGAGGTAAACAGCAGGTTGAGCCCATTCTCCGGTCGCTGCTATTAAACTAGTGCAGGATGAGATGAGGTGACTCACAGAGTTGCAGTCGAAGCTCAGATGGTGGAAAACCTGGAGGAGATCTGAGGTTTCTGTTGGTTTTATGTGAGGAAGGTTACGGCCTCCTCATCAGCCCACACACACCTGAGGTTTGAGTCACATGATTCCTGTACATCCTGATTGGTTGTGTATCCCTCTAGTGGACAGTCTGGGAATCACAGATGAGCTCAAGAACAAACTGCAGGACGTCCTGATTCCGGAGAGGCAGCTCACACTGGGACACATGCTGGGCAAAGGTAACGCAGCACCACACACAGTGATATACAACAACACACATTAGTACAGAGCAACATGTTTTATCTTTAATTCAGTGTATCTTCTGTCTGAGGAGATGTTTCTCTTTGAGGTCTGAATCTGACAAGTAGCTAAAAAGCACTCACTTCAGTTTATTTTGAACTTGGCTAAAATAAAGTAGCATTAAATGAAAATATTTAAGGTACCTCAAAATTATACTTCAGTGCAAGGTACTTATGGTGAGAGTGTACTAAACCTTTCCTGCTTCGGTTTTTTTGTTGTTAATCAGTAGCAGACTCAGACCGCCTCTCTGTAGTCCACTAGGATCCATGTGCATCAGCGTCCAGTTTATTAGTTCCACCTGGCGTCAGTGAAGTCCAGCACCCTTCAGACATCACACAGGTGAACCAACACCTCTGTGAAACAGGTTGAACACACTGAATATAATCGACTTCATTTAATTTTCTATTTGTATAAGCACTGAATCAGAACAAAAGTCTAGACCTTATCATTATTATTATTTTTGAGGGAAAACCTAACAAATCCCCTTGAGCAAGCACTTGGCAACAGCGGGGAGGAAAAACACCCTTTAACGTAAGAAACCTCTGACAGACCCCGGCTCTTGGTGGGCGGCCTTCTGCCTCGACCGGTTGGGGTGAGTGGATAGAGGAGAGAGAGAAAAGGAAGGCAACAAGACAACAAAAAAAACCCCAAATGAAATAGGGCTCACTGCAGGACTGTTGGATCAGACTGACTCAGTCTGAGACAGGGGTTCCTAATAAACTGAACACTAGTGTGTGTAGGGCTGCAACCAATCGTTAATTCCTTGATTAATCAAGCTGCTAATTATTTTCTCCATTGACCACTGGGTTATAAAAATGTTTGTTTTGAGATTCATGTTTCGACTGCTGAAAATCAATAAATAGAAATCAGTACAAATGAATCTGTTGATTGATGAATGGTTGCAGCTCTGCGAATGCACATTCTTTGATCCGGCGTCATAAAGGTTAAGTCTAAAGTGGACAAAGGCTCCTGAATCTCTGAACAGCAGAGGCCTGGACTGGACCCAGAGTCCAGATCAGGTCCTGGGTGATGGACTGATAAATGTGTGTGTGCACCGGTGCAGGCGAGTTTGGCTCAGTGCGTGAGGCTTTTCTGAAGACGGAGGACTCGTCAATGCAGAAGGTGGCTGTCAAAGTGCTGAAATGTGAGTCTGATCTTTCTTCTTCAGTGGTTGGATTTAACTGAAAGTGCAGCCTGATGAAATGTTCTGCATTATCGTCCTCACGTGTGAGCCACAGGGTCTGGGTCTGACTCACCCGTCAGGGACCGGACAAGATGAAATGATGAAAATTTGCTCAGACGTGTTTCTAGAAGGAAGCAGCAAAGTGTGCAACACTTCTCAGTTTGGTTGCTGTGTGTGTTTCGCGTCACACCTCAAAGCGCCTGCAGGCGGCAGGAAGGTGATTCAGGTGTCCAGTCACAAGATAGTGTGATGACTGGATCTTTTTCCATAGTCAGAAAATCAATCAGATCTTAGAGCACATATGCAAATGGCCCAGATGTGATCTAAGAGCATCTGATTTGGTTTGTCCACACTTCTGTGGACACATCAGGTCTGGGTCACTTCAGCTCTGATGTGGATGCATCTTTAGTCCCACTTATGGTTTCAAGGTGTCACTCTCATTTTCTCATGAGGAAATAAGGCTGTTGCTCAATATTTCATCAGTTTTCATTAATGAAATGAACAGCTTGCAGCTGACAGTTGCACTGAGACCAAAGATTGGTCAAAACCGATGACTAACTGTGTGTGTGTGTGTGTGCGCGTGCATGCGTGACCTCCAGCTGACGTCACCTCTTCAGGTGACGTCGAGCAGTGTCTGAAGGAGGCGGCCTACATGAAGGACTTCCACCACCCCAATGTCATCCAGCTCATCGGTAACACACACTCTCACACACACAGGTTAATGAGGGGGTCAGAGGTCAAGTGGGTTGACTGGCGGTCTGTCCTGTCCAATAGGAGTGAGCCTTCACCGGCGTCCCGGCCAGCGGCTGCCGATCCCGATGGTGGTGCTCCCGTTCATGAGACATGGAGACCTGCACACCTTCCTGCTGCTATCCAGACTGGGAGAGCAGCTGTTTGTAAGACACACAACGCTGTTCCTTTGTCGTGACACCTACAGAACACACGCTCATTTGATACTTCAGCGCTGTCCGCATCCGTCAGCCTTCCTGTGGTGAAGCTGAAGAAACAGGACTGGTTGATTTTTCTCCAGTAGAGTTGGAACTAAAGAAAAATTATTTTCATGTTTTTTATTTTTTGGTTGAAGCTACAAAAACCAGCTTGTTGTTCATCACTATTAAATGAATTAGTACTTATTGTGTTTTAGCTGCTGATCAGACAAACAATGACATCAGTTGCCAGTTTGCAAACTGGGTTATGTGTGTGTAAATGCTGGGGTAGGACATATGAACAAATGTGCTGCTGTTTGCTGCTGCACACCTTCACAGCTTTGCTGCCTCGTTAGAGTTCTTGTAACATTGGCATGTGTGAAATTCCCATGGAGATGTGCCAGATGTGCTGCATTAATGCAAAACTCCTGTTGGAGCTGAGTGTGAACAGGTAGAGTGTCCCTCCTGATAAAGTACAGGGTGACTGTACTTCATCACGAGGTAGGGCAGTCGTCTCCTGACCAGCAAGTTGGTGGTTCGACTCCCTGTCTCCCCACATGCCTAAGTGTCCCTGAGCAAGACACTGAATTGCTCCCGGTGGCTTGACTAGCGCCGTTGTGTGGCAGCCTGTCATCGGTGTGTGAATGTTGTATCATCTCCCTGTAAAGCGCTTTGTGAGAAATGTGCTATATAAATACAGTCCATTTACCAAAGTACAGGGTTTAATCAGAATCTCAGCATGAAGAGCATGTTTCTCTGCACAATTAACAAGACGGCATCATGACACATTGCCAGTGCTCAGTCTGCCCCTCAGCTGTCAACCGCTCTCAAACTCAGACTGTAAACACAGTCGCATCCAGAGCCAGAGCAGTGCTCATGAAGCGGCACAGTGTGCGAGCTGTTGGACCTCAGAACTGGAAACTCTCTGAGCTAACAGCAGCGGCCTTTCTGCACGTATCCAACATTTTACACTTGGCACTTTTGTGATTCTGGAAGTTTTAGGCACAATCTCAGTCAGCCTGGGGGGGTTTTGTGTCCGATTCCTGTGCAGCATCTCATGATTATTAGAAATGGCTTCGTCCTCATGTTAGTCACTTTATAAAAGAAGAGGTCGTTCAGTGTGACACTAACAAATCAATCAACAGGGAAAATGCTAGTTAGCTGCACCTGGTGCACGTTGTTGGACCGAGTGCATGTTTTACAGATGATGTGAAGCGTCTCTGTGCTCTTGTCCCCTGTCAGGACCTGTCTCTGCAGACTCTGATCCAGTTCATGTTGGACATCTCTCGGGGGATGGAATATCTGAGCAGCAGGAACATCATCCACAGAGACCTGGCAGCCCGAAACTGCATGTCAGTCCACAGGCAGCTCTAAGGAGCTGCTGTTAGTCATAGACAAGTACACACGGGTCATCTTCAGGTTTTTTTTATTTGAACTCCTCTTTTAGTCACAAACTTCACTTGAAACATTTAGACTGTTTTCTGACACCTGGCAACCAAACGATACAACATTAGTGGACATAAAGAGAATTGTGCGCATGACACTAAAAAGGGTGTGTGGCAGCTAACAGCAACAAAACTGGTCAGGTTTCAGGTTAACTTTTCAACACTTCATTTAATTGCTCCTCTTCCATTTGGTTTCAGGATGTTTTATTCAAATGCCCTCAGTACAAAGGAGGAACAGATTTAGCTCAGTGTGCAGCTCTTTCTACCTGCCTTTAATAGCCAAGTAAAAATCTTTACTGTAAGTGCTATTAATGTGATATTATTGGACATCCTGATCTGCAGAGGATGAACCCTGCAGTTTCATGACTCCATGATGTTTCCTCTAGCACCACCCTCAGGACAAACTGTGCATGTTTATTAGACATGCTACAACAAAGTGATTGTTTTAGTCATCGCTGAACCCTTTGCAGTTTGTTTCTCACATTTGATGCTTTTTATTGTACGTGAATCTGAGCTGAACCACTAAAGGCATCACCTCAGGCTGTGGCAAATTAAAGTTGTTTACAGAAAACACAGCTGACTGACATAGGTGTCAGGTGCAGTTCTTTAGCTCTGCCAACACTGAGTGAGACAGTCCTGGTGTGAGCCTCAGGGCTGTTAATGAGACAAATGCACGTGTGTTTCAGGCTGGACGAGAACATGACGGTGTGTGTCGCAGACTTTGGCCTCTCAAAGAAGATCTACAGTGGAGATTATTACCGACAGGGCTCCGTGTCCAAACTGCCTGTGAAATGGATCGCTCTGGAGAGTCTGGCTGACAACATCTACACCACACAGAGCGACGTGGTACACACACCTACACACCCACACTGGACACAGGACCTGGATCAATAAACACTTCTGTTAATGCTGCAGGCTCGGCCAGACCACATCCGTGCAGTTTATCAGTCGGTGTTAGTCCTGGCTCCTGATTCTGGTTTACTTTTAGACTTGAGATGAACATGCTTTTGATTCATTAGATTTTTGTGAGTTTTAGTCACAGAATCTAAATTCTTTCATTGGTCACATTTGTCCTGCGTTTTTAACATTAACATCGTCTAAACGGCCGTCTCCATCTTCACTGTACCGTGACAGGTTTGACATGTTTTAATGTGTGGCTTTATTATGTCGTGTGTGCCAGTGGGCATTTGGCGTGACCATGTGGGAGATCATGACTCGTGGTCAGACTCCGTACCCTGGAGTGGAGAACTCGGAGATCTACGAGTTTCTAATCAAAGGAGAAAGACTGAAGAAACCTCCGGACTGCAGAGACGACATGTCAGTCTGTAGACGGCAACACACCCACGATTTCTAATCAGGAATGTGTGTGTGTGTGTTGACAGCTGACTTCTTCTCCTTTGTTTTCTCCTTCGTCAGTTATGAGATCATGCACAGCTGCTGGAGTCCGGTTCCTAAATGTCGTCCCAGTTTCAAACATCTGGTTGCACAGCTGGAGGCGCTGTGGCTTGGCCTGTCCCCTGCCCCCACTCTAAAGGAGCCTTTACTCTACATGAACCTGGAGGGGGAGGGGGGAAGAAGAGCAGTGAGGGCCCCGGAGGCGGCAGCGAGCTGGAGTGTGCCCTGGCAGCAGTGGGTGGAGGATGAGGAGAAAGGCTGGCTGATGGTAGGGTCGGGGGCTGTGCTGGCCATTGGAGGAGACTACAGGTACATCACTGGCCCCTGCGGGGGCCCTGAGGGGTGGGAGGGGGGAGGGGGGAGGCAGGAGGTGATGGACATTTTACAGGAGGAGCTGAGGGACGATGACGATGTCATTAATGTCTGACAGAGACTGACCAGTCGGACCTGTAACTCAGAGACGCTCACTTGGTGGCACTGAGCAGCAGCAGGTGGGCGGAGACGGTCCCAAGGTACAAACTGACTGGCATTACATATTGTATATCACACACGTCAGCAGCTGTAGCGCGTCACATGGTACATCCCACTTTGTCCAGTTAATGTCCCTGTACTGGTCCACTGTAAAGTGCTGGTGTCAGCAGGTACTGAACAAGTAGTTCTCACCAGTCCTCAAAAAAAAAAATAAAAACACATGCAAAATAAGGACAGAGCTACAGCTGCTGATTCTTTTCCTTACCAATGAACCCTTTACTCTGTAAAATGTAAAAGCCAATGAAAAACATCAGTCCCACTTTCCCAGTTTAATGTGACATCTTTTGTCCAAAACCCAGAGAGATCCAAGTCACTGTGACAGAGGGTGGGTCTTTAATAATTTGTAGTTTACTCTGTTTTTGTTTTAGTATTGTCTTGTATTAGTGTCCTCTTGTGAAGCACTTTGTGCTCCTGTGGAGTTGTAAAGTGCTATATAAATAAATTATTATTATTATTATTAGAAAGCAGCATATAGCAAAACATCTTCACATTTAGAGGCTAAAAACTGCAATTCCTGCCGATCATTTAAAAATGAATTATTTGATAATGAAAACCGATTTTCTCTGAAATAATTGTAGCAGCTCTGAAACAGTAGCATCTTGTACTGGTGTAAAAACTAGCTCGTATGGGGATGCGATGTATAATGTGTCACCTGGAGACTATCCTGAGCAAGTGGGGGTGCTAGTCTACAGGTGTGAAGCTCTTCCTGGTCTAAATGAGCTTATTTCCTGACAGAGGAGGGCGTGTCGTTCCTCTCCGTGTAGAAACTGTCCAAGTTAATTGTTGCTGTGCCCTGTCAGCTCCACCTGGTCTCCACCAACACCAGATCTAGTCCACTATATTAGTCAGTATGCGTATTTTCCCTATAAACTGATCTACAGTTGCATTTTTTTAATGTGGCCCTGTATATTTGATCTGTAACCTCTGGATCACTAAGCCAACTAGACTTCACTCAAGACATTTTGAGCGTTTCAGGCTGAGGGATATTTGCACATGTCCTACTTCTGTTCTCCTTCTTCAGTGATGTCCTCCTGTGGTGGTTGTCCTTTCATTTATTTCTGTCTTGAACTGCAGCACTGTTGACTACTGTAGTGGCGAGACTGGTCGCTCCTGATGATGAAAACCTGATGATTTTTTTTTTTCTTCAATGAATTTAGGCACCGTTCATTTGCATCCATTTTGGGCCCATGACCATGTGATGTGATAACAGAACAATCATCACAGCATCTAAGCAGCCCCCATCCATAGACTAAAGGATGCATCCAGTGGTTTCGTTTGACTTTGCCGTTTCCCACAAATCCCATCCAGAGACCAACAGCAGCAATTAGGGTGGTGTACTCACTGTAATCCGTGTGAATCCAGAACCTGGTTCTGTTTTAAAACAGACGACCTCCCGTGTTTCCCGAGGATGAAACCTGCCCCCCAGTGCAGCAGTGTGGCTCACTGGGGAGGGGGGTTTAATAGCTGGTGAACAACAGTGGAGGTCTACGGTACAGAGCGATGAGCTGGACCAGGGTCTGGACTCGCACATTATGGTGAGGACACCACATTCACTGGGGCGGCTGGTCTCTGGATGGGGTTGGTGGGGAATGACAACAGACAAACTCACTGGCTGCAGACTTGAAGTCCAGGAGCTGTGGCTGAAAGCTCAAGAAAACCAGCCATGAGAGGGGACATTTATTGCTCATTTTTGTTAGGCTTTTACATACTGTAAGCAGTGTGGGCGTTTCGGATTGGATGTAGTTCAAGGGATTCACAGACAAATAACTTCATTGTACCTTTTCTCTCAGCTGTTTGGTTTGATCAGGCTGAAATATGTACTACAGGTAGGACAGCAGGTTAGTGTACAACCTGCAGCTTTCCTGGTGGTTCCCTGCAGTGAACAGCTGACAGCATTAGTCAGTGAACCCATCGACAACATGTTATTACCTGTTATCTTCAGTCATTTGAAAATGCCAATGTTAACCGAGTCCAGCTTTGGTTCTTGTTCCAAGTCAGGACTTTTGTTTAGTCCTGTCACAGCAAACTGGATGTTGGACTGGGTGTTGGACAGCTGGTCACACACAATATGAGGACTCTTTTCTTGTGTGACAAGTTTCACAGTTCTGGTGTTTTAAGGACTAAACCCTTAGCTGAGAAATTAACCAATAATTAATATAACTGTTACTTGCTGCCATAGTAATAGTCAGCCTGTTTGTCGTCAGTTGACAAATTGAGCGCATCAGTGTGAACTTGACATTCTTGTGGAAATGATTTTTGAGGCTGAATCTTGCATAGGAGTTGAGGAGCATTAAGGCCTTTAGTATTTGTCTGTGTTAAGCCTACGTGCTACAGTTCACTGAATAAACTTGTTTAATATTGAGTGTGTATATAAAGCGGTATTTACAGGTAGTTATTGGAGGCCCACAGCGCATTTTAGCCCCAGGTCTCCTCTACTGGGTGACCCTGACTGATGCAGTAAATAAGGTGACTTAAATTTTGCTGCTTTAGAAAGTCACTTTAACATGTTGACACTAACGTTGAAGCTGGTAGATTAGTTTTTAAATAACGTCGTTCCTGTGTCAGTGTGTCATTGAACTGTGTTGTATAGCTGAGGCAGATGTACTGTAATTATGTATTTTAGACATCTGAGATGTGTTATTCATCCTGGGCTTGAAATGAACCAGCTTCTATGTTGGTGGTGCCTGACTGTGAAACTGTAGCCAAGACTTAATTCCCTGTGCTGGTGTTTGAGTTGAACTCATGTCGGGATATGACAGAAAAATGTGACATTTAAACGTGCTATCCTACGTCAATGGTGAAACTCATATCCTGAAGGTAAAGCCTGAACTTGAAGCTCTTTGTTGTCCCATACTCACCTGTATAGCGCTGACTTCACACCTGTACATAAACCAGTTATGAGACCATTTGAACAAATGAATAAAGTGTTTGTGTCACATTGACTTCTCTTGCATATTTTACCAGCAGCTTAAATCCACTGCAGAGAATGACAGTCTAGCAGAGCCGACCTGAAAAATAATACATACTGTCACCACCAAAGAGTCACATGACAGTTTTGACAAAGAATGAAAAGCTGGGTTTCAGAAAATCACAAACTAAACAGACTTCAGTATCACCAATTCCTGGTGTACTACAAACAAGGTGATCTGACCTTTGATTATTTTACATGAAATCATTTATATTATCTACACCACTGTTTAAATATTTAAAACTGCTTTCAGATGTAAAAAACAAAACAAAACAAATCCTCACAAGTAAAAATCCTTCATTTGAAACTTTACACCAGTACAAGTAACTTCAAGTGCTAAAGTAAAAGCATTCGCTAAGCAGATAACTGGCTCTCAAGTGATGTGTCAGCTGGTTAATACTGATGTATTATTGTGTTGGTAACATTATCTAGTATTTGGTTGAGTTTATTATGTTTCTTTATTCTCTCTAGTCACACTGACTCGCATGTTGACATAAATGCAGTGAAGAATTGGGTACATCAAACTGTACTTGTGTGTAGTATTCAGATTCCATCACTGCATTCAGTGTATTTTTTCATGTTAAAAGTAAGCTAGACTTTAATGGGCTTGACTTTTTTTATTATTTAAATTTTACTGAGTACTTAAGATGATTAAATACATCAGGCTGTAAAATACTTAAAAGCTTACAGTTAGGGTACTCCTACTTATTTTCAGCAGCACGGTTACGTGTTTCCGGGAAAAATGGAAAACTTGTCCAGCAAAGCAGCGATTTAGTTGAGAAACACGCCCCGCCAACCTCAATTGCCGATGCTAACACGGGCCGGGCGACTCGGACCCAGGTCCACCAACCCTTCGATCAATTTCTGGCAAGTTTATTTAAAACTTTTGCTCCCGTGGACTTATTTGTGATTAACCCAGCAGACGCCTAGCTAACCAGCTCTAGCCGCTTCTTCATAGACATTAATATACCAGTTAGCATGGAGCTAGCAGTTCTCTAGATGTCGCTGTGGCTCATTTTATATTTGCCTCCATTGCAGTCGGTCCGAGAAATACGCCAGGTGGCGAATAATAGTTACACGCACGCACAATCATAACACCTACTCAGACACTAAAGCAAAAAAGGCGGTAAACCATCCATTGGCCTACAGCGCATGCGCCACATCCGTTGATTTTATTCCTTAGACATGATGCTGCATACTATTTACATCGGAGCATGTTAGCCGTTGTTATCAATACCAGTTTATAACAACGCGCCATGTGGTATTTTGCGCATGCAAACACTGGTAGTATGTTCACACATTGATACTGGACAGTAGTGTGTGTACGACTGTTTTAATGAGATGTACGTAGTGTATAGACGATGTGAAGTTGTCGTCGTACCGTGTTGAATTTGGGGCAGATGTTCTATTTTGGAAGATCTCACATTATCCATCAAAGATGTACACTATTCACAGCTATAAGCTAATTTTTAAACTAAATACTATCCCATATGACTAAATACAGTAGCAGGTGCGTTAACTACGTCCAAACGTCAATTTTAGCATTGTTTGAGCACAGACAGAACAGTTTTGAGTCACCTGCAGTGTTTGTGCTATTTGTCGACAGCTGCTAGCCAGCGTTAGCTCCCGAACCGAGAGTTGAGATCAGGGTGCCATCATTTCTCTGTCGTTCTCGTAGGCGGGATCGTAGGTCCACTACGAGTTGGCTAACGTTACCCATTCTGAATTACCAGTTAGTAAATAGAGCGTTACCTCCCAAACTGGTGCTCCCCTCCCGACATTCAACGCGGCGTGATGTACCTTCACTTTCTCTATATTTCTACACCTCTCTACTACTGATGCAGAGCAGCAGCTTGGATTTTGAGGTCGGGGTTGGTGAAATCTGTCCGACTTAACGGTCAGAAATCCGACTCCGGGGGCGTTCTATTTCCGAATCGGACCCTGGAAATTTCGACTTCTGCATTCAACAGGAAAGGACCACGAATTCCCAGGTAATAACACAGTAACAACTGCAACTGCAGTGTGAAGCCCTAGCTGTTAACCTGAGTCTTTACATGTAGTAAAGTTGTAACTAGTTAGTTTAAAGCATTATCCAAGAAATATTCAAAGGTATAGAACCGCACTGAAAATAGTCAAGTATTATAATACTATCAACAGATCTGTTGCAAGTAACAGTCCACTATTAGAAATGTTAATATAATAAATGTTTGGGCTAATCATGAAAACTGCACTTAAAGTATTACAAATATTCCATACTTAAAACTGTTATAGTTGTATTATTCATGGGTGGAGCTGCATTTTATTGCTAAAATGCTCAAGCAAAAATCTAAAAATAAAAAATAAAAAAAACCAAAATATCTTGCAAATTGTCAGAAGCCCACTTGCTTTGTTTTGTATACATAACCCTAATTTGTGAATCAACTAAGTTGTCAGATAAATGTAGTGCAATTAAAGTGCAATATTTTCCTGTGAATGTGTAGAAAGTTGCATAAAAATAAAATGCCTCGAATTGGTACTTAATACAGTATTGGAATAAGTAGTTTACTTTACCTCGATTTTCTACTTTCCTGTTTTGAAATACTACAGATTTCTGTTCTGGATTATTTAACTACTGGGCTCAGAATTTTCCACAGCAGCAACTCATGGGCGAAGCCCTTTGTTCGTTCCAGGCTGGGATCCTCGTAGGATCTCCAGAGTTAACCTAACCGTACTGCATCGCCATCACAGGAAAACCACATTCTAAATACCACTTCCCTCTGGATGTGTTGATATATTAGTGTATTAAATTAATGAGTCCGCACTATCACAACAGCCCTCGCTGTCTTCGGCTTCCATCTTGGTCAGAACAGAATGGATTCCGCTGCTGCCCCGGTCTGAACGTGGCTAAAACACGATACAACATGGCGGCTGATATACGATTACCAGGTCGCGCCCGAAGAATCTGAAATACAACACTGTTGTATTCAGACACCGTCCATTTCGACAAGCAGGCAGACTATACTACGAAAAAACGTGATGTGAAGCTAAGCGGCACTTATGTGCCACGTCTAACCGTTTCTTAGCCACAATGTCCGTGTAAATTCTCCGTCATCTGGGTCGCCGAAAAAACGTGGAAGAAAGCATCTGGATGTAGCTTTAGGTTTCACCTCTCGTCCAAGAGGCTTCATCAGTTCTGCCTGACTGGTGCCACGGACTGTACTGCACTTTATTCCACCCTGATCTATATATACAAAGCCCCGAGCACAGTCAGTCTCTTCCTCTGAACGAAGCTGAATGTGGCGGGTCCACACAGGAATGGCTTTCATTTTGTCAGAGCTTTAACCGTAAAGCGTCGGTTGTTGTTCTGGACACATTACCACCAGCATCACTGCATAGAGCCCATTTTACGCCAATCAAACGCAATTATATTCCAGTTTGACTTCGACAAAACGAAAGACAACCTGCGGCCTACTCAAACCACGGCGTCTGTCCTCAGCATCCAGACGGATTTCATACGACAAATAGTCCAACAAGCAGATGCACACCTACAGAACAGAAGACAATGTCCAGCCGCTCCACAACTCTCCTCCCACGGGGAAGGGAAACCGTTTCCAGTGTCGCTGCTCAGAGTCGCCGGGAACAGTTTGAACTAGGTGGCGGCAGCAAGATGGCGTCTGAGACTGCGCAGTAGCATTAAAGACGATGACGTTACAGTGAAGCACACCGCATGCTGTTTCCCCCCTTCTCAGGTAGAAAGCGCAACGGTGTCCATGATGAGGCTTAAACGACGTGAAAACAGACGACAGCAGTTGGATTTATGTGGCATCGTCGAAACACTCGGTGCGTTTAAGCTCGGAGAAGGTAACTGGCGTGCGGTTGGTGGTCCTAGAGGGTCGATACAAACCGACCGTGGGCTTTGGGTATTTGGGGGAGGGGGACGCCATTACTGCTCGCAGCCTGAGGCCTGCTGCTAGCTAGCTCATTTTTCTTGAACATTTCATGTAATGCATTGATCTAAAAGATGCAGAGGCGAAACTAGTTGGACTTGGTTATTGAATGCCACAAGATCAAAAAGTTTCTTCAACAAAATTAGTGTTTTTCTTAAAATTAAGTTTTGCATGCTATTGCTAAATGGGAACGTGCAGACCAATTTAAACATGCAGTCTTTAGGGATATTAGTAATAAGTTCTGAAAAAAAACTATTAGAAAGCCTCTTATTCAGCTTTCTCAGAAGGTATTATGAATTCTTAAATGCCAAGAAAGTCTTGAATTTAACTCTTTTCTTGCCTACCCTGATATTGGACTGTGGTTTTGTTATTACCAGGCATGGACAGAATAGGGGGCATAAGTCTCTTTGTTGTTGTTTTTTCATTTCTTTGGTAGCTTTACATCTGTATGTTATGACCCTGGCTTTACTCGAAGCAGATTCCCACTAAATGGGGTTGGGTTGGTGTTTTGTGGCTTTATTCAGGTTGTCATCTTTGAGAAATTACTCACAGGTGCTTCGTATTTAAAACACAAACTAAAGAAATTAGTAATTGGATGACTAATAATATATATTTAAAGAATTTATTCAAAATGGTGAGTGTTGAAAGACATGGCACTTGGCCGGTAACAATTTAGATAAGTTCTGTTTTCTCCTCCGAAATGGATGGATCTTGCAACAAATTTCAAATGCTATGTGAGGTGTTACTTTGTATTTTAATGGTGATCAACAAATCCAATATTCAGATCCAAACCAGCCATGTAAAGTTTAGTTTGCTCTACTGTGGAATTATTTCAAACATACAAAGCTAACTAGCTTGCAAACTGCAGTTCCCTTTAATTTTACCAAGCTAAAATTAGTTAGAAACACTTGGAAATGACATGAGCACTGCAAAGGCTCTTATGACCACTGAGGCCAGAAGGATCCCAGTCTCTCTTTATTGCTAAAGCTATAGTTTTGTCATTCTCCGTTGGAAGGAATGTTTCCTCTTGGGGACGCTGACATTTTTCAGTCTTCCTTTGAGCAATTGCAGTAGTTTACTGCATAAGTCCGTGTAATATTTCTTTCCATGTAGTCACATTCATTGTGCTTTGTTTTCTACCTAGTGTGCATGCATCTTGTTGATGATGTTACTTGGAAACTCATCTTTCGAATACTGCTGCAATCTACTACTAAGTGCTCCAGTAGCCAGGGAAAGGTTGTGGAAATGATGAAGGAAGCAGTGTTTGTACTGTGCTTGTTTTGTCCTTGCAGCAATGATATTTGTTTTCACACAGTACCGTTTCATATGAGTTAGCAAGTTTGATGTATTGATAAAAACATACCTGATCACCACTGAATGAACATATCAAGTATCAATAGTTTCTGAACACAATAGCTGTGGCACAGAAGACACAGGATGAGACATAGGTTGCAGTTTTGATTTGTCTCTGCATATTTGATTAAGTGATGAACAAAAATATTGGACATCACCAGATTAATTTTGTGTTATTCATAAGCCGCAGCAAAAATACTTAAGTTAGGTGAAATACATCTGGCCACTATGGGACGTAATGACTCCAGTGAAACCAAATGCATATAGAATCACCTTAACATGTACTAATGGTAAACATACAGTCGCAAGAAAAAGTCACAGCACTGTTTGCAGTTTTCTGCATGAACTGGTAATGAAATGTGACCTGATCTTCACTGAAGTCACAAATATCAACAAACACAATATTTCTAAGGCGATAAAACACAGTCCTGATCATGTCTTTATTGAACACGCCCATTAAAAATACACAGTGATGGTGGGCAACGTCATGGCAGCACCAGGCTTCTGATGTAACCACTCGGCTTTCGGAGCATCCGGGATTATATTTTTATAGTGTGCACAAAACCCGCCTGCCACCATGACAAAACTTCTATTTTTTTATAGTGTGCACAAAACCCGCCTGCCACCATGACAAAACTTCTATTTTGTTATAACCAGAAGCTTTCTCCTTATAACAAGATGACTGCAAAGCAGGTGTAATATGATCATATTTACGTGCATTAGTAATGACACGAGCAGCAGCATTTTGGGCGAACTGAAAGTGAGAAAGTAATGACTGATTTCCACAAACATACAGTAGTCTATCCTAGAGCTGATAAAAGCATGAACTGCTCTCTCAAGATCCTTGTGTGTTAAAAAAGGTTTCACCTTGGTTAAAAGACAAAGCTGCTTTTTACAACAGAGTTAATGTTTGCTGAATTTCAGTTCACTGCTGTATAGCAGCCCGAGGTTTTTTGTTTTCAAACAGTTGAGTGTAAAAGACAAGATTTTCTAGTTGTTTTTATGACATACTGTATTTTCTCCTTACGATGATATATGCTACTGTATTTTCTCGTAATAGCGTGAGTCCTGCGCACCTTGGTGTGAGTGCAGCGCACACACTCACTCTCTGAGCAGTAGGCTAGCTTAGCTATTAAGTTCAGCAGCCTCTCTCATCAACAGTCTCCCATACCAACTCTTCACACAATTACTCTTAGGAACTGCACTCTTGTGCTTGAGAAGCTCTGATCTGGCACTTAAATTCACGCACGATAATTAGCCCACAAAATAACACATGACTGCAGTTCATGAGCAAATACCACGCATGTCCTGATGATGTTAAAGGCATTATTGACAGTAGGTGAAGTCGGTGTGTGGCCGCTGTTACTCGCACCAAGCTGTGCAGGCTCACGTTAGGGGCTACAAAGGATATGATCCTCTCTGGGGGTGTGATAGCTCCACAGGTCATAAATTTGAAACTTTATTTTTATATACAGTCAAGCCAGAAATTATTCTAACCCTTGGCAAATTCTGACTTAAAGTTACTTTAATTCAACTAGCAAGTATTTTTTTGACAGGAAATGACACAGGCGTCTCCCAAAAGATAATAATACGATGTACAAGAAGCATCATTGGAAAAAAATATTTCTCAGCTTTTATTTACATTTGAACAAAAAGTGGCATGTCCAAAATTATTCATACCCTTTGCAAATTGTCACAGTTTATGGGAAAATCCAAAGTTCTATACCATTCCAAATAGTCCAAGCTGTTCTAAAGCATCCTAATTACACTGATTCATTGGGAACAGCTGTTTTAATCAACTCAACAGGTGAAAAACAGAAGCTCTCTGCTGTTGGTTTGTGGACAGTCATGGCTAAGACAAAGGAGCTCACTGAGGACCTGCGGCTGCGCATTGTGGCTGCTCATAACTCAGGAAAGAGCGATAAGACCATATCTAAATGTTTTGAAGTTCCAGTGGCTACAGTGCAAAGTATTACAAAATACAGGACGTTCTGCACTGTGAAAAATCTCAGAGGACGTGGTCGGAAGCCAAAAGTGACACCTGTGCTGGCCAGGAGGTTAGTGAGAGAGGTAAAAAAAGAATCCAAGGATCACCACCAAGGCCATCGTGATGAATCTGGGCTCTGCTGGTGGCAACATCTCAAGGCAGACAGTCCAACGGACATTGACCAAGGAGGACACCACTTCTCCAGATAAGGCACACAAAAGGTCGCTTGGCCTTTGCAATTGCCCGTCTTGACAAAGAAGAAGACTTTTTATGGTCAGATGAAACAAAAATTGAATTGTTTGGCCACAATGATGTAGCCTTCATTTGCCGTAAAAAAGGAGAAGCCTTCAACCCTAGGAACACCATCCCCACTGTCAAACATGGTGGTGGGAACCTAATGCTTTGGGGGGTGGTTTTCAGCTGGTGGACCAGGGAACCTAATGACACTAAACGGCACCATGAAAAAGGAGCAATACATCAAAATTCTCAACAACATCATCAGGTAGTCTGCAGAGAAACCTGGCCTTGGGCACCAGTGGACATTTCAGCACGACAACAACCCAAAACACACGGCAAAAGTGGTGAAGAAATGTTTAGCAGACAAAAACATTAACGTTTTGCAGTGGCCCAGCCAGAGTTTTGACTTGAATCCAATTGAGAATCTGTGGAGGGAGCTAAAGCTGAGGGTGATGGCAAGGAGACCCTCCAACCTGAAAGAGTTGGAGCTCATCGCTAAAGATGAATGGGCAAAAATACCAGTGGAGACATGCAAAAAGCTGGTCAGCAATTA